CCCAAAACCCCAAAACCCCAAAACCCCAAAACCCCAAAACCCCTTTTTGGAAAGCAGAATTGGATCGTATATAAAAATAAAAATGTCTATGCACAATCAGAGTGAAGGCTCGTTCGAACGGATTAATAAATCCATGACGGCCGAGAAAGTCACTAATGATAGCGACGGATCAGGTAAATCTCGCAAGAGGTGCATTATCATTTCTATCACCATCTGAGCATTGGTTGCTGCGATTACAGCCCTTGTCTTAGTTCTCGTGTTGCAAGGATCCGGAGGTGGTATCCCAGCTGGATACAACGCGTATTCGGCGGAAGAAGAGGTAGATGGAAAGTGGTATTATGAAGCACTCCTTCAAAGAACACAGAATGTTACAGCTCCTGTGAGGCCTGACGAAGATAACGAAGAGTTTGGTACATTAAGAATGAAAGCTTCCATGATGAACGACCATACTATTAGACTTAAGATCAACCCGGTTACTTCCAACTCCAACAGCTTGAACGATGCTGAAGATATCAAGAGATGGGAGATTCCAACAGAACTTCTTGGTAATACTAAAGATGACTACGGAATGAGGCTAAACTGGGCAAACTTTGATGCATCAACTAAGCCAGCTGGGTTTGAGATATCCAATCCTAATGTAAAGAATCAACAATATCTCTCAACGAAAAACAGAAACTTCGTCTTCATGGACAAGTACATAGAGCTAGGATTTGAGATTGACTCTCGTAAAATATTTGGATTTGGAGAGCGACAGAAGACATTCGAATTAAATACTGGAGAGTATTCATCTTGGGCAAACGGAAGAGATAACCATATGGAAAAGGGAGAGAAAGGTGGACACTCTTATGGTGATCATCCTTTCGTATTAGCCAGACTCAACAGCGGAGCTTTTGTTGGTATCTTCTTTGCTAATAGTAATGCCAAGACTTTGGAGTATACTCATGTTGGGAAAAACAAATCTATTCTGAACTTCAGAGCAATTGGAGGAATTTTAGATTTTTATACATTCTTTGCCGACAACCCAGAAGATGTGATCAAAGCTTATCATGATGTCATTGGGCATGCTTATTTCCCTCCATTCTGGGCCCTAGGGTTCCATCAGAGTTCATGGCAATACGAAACACAAGCTATGGTTGAAGATGTACTGAAGAAATACAAAGATAACAAGATTCCTCTTGAAGGAATGTGGTTAGATATAGAATATATGGATCACTACAAGAACTTTGAAGTAAATAAGACACACTGGAAAAACATCCCACAGTTGGCTAAAACGATGCACAGCAGAGGACAAAAACTAATCACAATTGTTGATGCTGGTTTCAAAGCTGAAGATCCAAACTATACTTACTATAAACTTGGAACTCAAGCAAAATTATTCATCAGAAGTGCTAAAAATCCAGATGATTTTAATGGAAATTTGATTGGAAAGGTCTGGCCTGGTAAGGCAGCATTTGTAGACTTCCTCGATCCAAATGCCAACAATTTCTGGAGAAATGGATTAAAGAACTTGCACAAACTGACCTCTTTTGATGCTATCTGGATTGATATGAATGAAGTTACTACTTTCTGTGCTGAAGAGTGCCCTAATGATGACCCTAAGCCTCCAGAGGCTTTTGTACAAACTGCAAGAAATCTTAAGGATGATGATGATGATGAAGAAGATTGGAGTCCTACTGGAAAAATTCCGCTGACTCATTATTCAATTTCTCTAGATGCAAAGCATTACGGTAAAACTCCTGAAGAAGAAGCTTTGCATGTTGAGTACAATTTGCATTCTCTGTATGGAATTTATCAAGCTAGGGCTACTTATGATTACTGGCTCAAAGGAACTCTCCAAGGTAAAAGACCTTTCGTACTATCAAGATCAACCTTTGCTGGAGCTGGTAAATGGACATCTCATTGGTTGGGTGATAACTTTGCTAAATGGGAGTATATGCATGCTTCAGTTGCAGGAATATTCGACTTCAATATGTTTGGCATGCCATTAGTAGGAGCTGATGTATGTGGATTTCATAAGCCAACCACTCCAGAGTTGTGCGGAAGATGGCACCAGCTTGCAGCTTTCTATCCATTTGCAAGGAATCATAACAATCAAACTGATGAAAATAAACCACTTCCTTCTCAAGAGCCATATACTCTTGAAGAACCTTGGGATAACACTGCTAAACTTGCTATTATTCAGAGATATTCCTATCTAAGATATATGTATACAAGACTTTATGAAATTAATCAGAATGGAGGAGGAACTTTAATCAGACCCCTCTTCTTTGAGTTCCCAGATGATGATAATGCTTATCAAGGATATGAACATACTTTTATGGTTGGAGATGCTTTGAAAGTAACACCAGTTCTCGTTCCAGAAACTAAGCATAATGGGAAAATCAAATCATACTTCCCTGCTAATTCAAGATTCATTTCATTAAACAACTTCAAGACTGTTGTAGAAGGAGGACCTCAAGGACAAAACCTCACTCTTGAAGCCTCAATGGAGTTCACTAATGTCCACTTAAGACAAGGACACATCATCCCATTCCAAAACATGACCATTGATCACTATGTGATGACCACCAAAGAACTCATCCAAAGCGAGCCACTTACTCTGCTAGTGTTCCCAGACAAGAACGGTAACGCCGAAGGCTTCGTGTACATTGACGAAGACGGAGACGACTTCATTGACGTTGAGAGAAATGCCTTCCAGTACTACAAACTCAGGTTCAACGACCGCGGCCTCAGCATTGAGAAACACGAAGGAGACATGTCTGTGGGACCGGCCAACACTGGCAACCAAGTCATCGACAAGATCGTCATTCTGGATGCAACCAAGTACAAAGATGCGACTCTGACCGGCTGTGCTTACGACTACGAATTCGTTCCGAAGAGCGTCGAAGTTGAGTACGATGAAGACATGAACGCTCTTGTGATTCAGAAGCTTGACAGAGGCGCTTTGTTGTTCAAAGAGGTCATGGGCATCCAGTTCTCTGACGCTACCGATGACACGACTTTCTGCAATGCTAAGTATGTTGTCACAAGCAAGACTGCTTCATCTAGCAACGGTGGAGAGCATGTTGACCGAGTTGAGTTGAAGATATCGAGCGGAGACAAGCCTCATCTTCCTGACTTGACAGCCGAGTTCGCTCTGATTGGTGAACAATACTTGAGAGTGCAAATCTTCGACCAAGACATCGAAGAGTTCGAAGCACCTAAAGACGCCTTTAACAGACAATTCATTGACTCACTGCCACCAGGTGCATTCGACTTGAGTGTGATCCTGACACTCCCAGAAGAAGGAGAAGAATTCTACTATGAAGTGAGTGCGAATGGTGCAAAGACTCCATACTATTCAACGAAGGGTCAGCAGTTCGTGTACTCTCCATACTACAAAAGACATGCTGCTCAGATTGAGACTACCGGCCAGATTTTCGGACTTGGAGAGCGTGTCGGAGAGTTCTTCCTGAGAGAAGGAGTTTACACTATGTGGAACAGAGACGCCACAAGTCCCATTGAAGACGGACTCAGACCAGGAAACAACATTTATGGAACTCACCCAGTCTACTTCGCTAGAGTTGCACGCAATGACTTCTTCGGAGTGTACGACCACAACTTCGGAGCCCAAGACTACGTTGTTAAGAAGGCTGGTAAGAAATACCAAATCACCCAGATCAAGACTTCTGGACTCACTGACCAGTTTGTGATCCTTAAGACTGATGTCCAAGAAGTCATTGGAAGGTACCAAGAGATAGTTGGAAAGCCTGCAATAGTCCCTGAGTGGGCTCTCGGGTGGCACCAGTGCAGATACGGATACAACAACACCGCGCAAGTCAGCGATGTCGTAGCCAAGTTCAGAGAACACGAACTCCCACTTGACGCCATGTGGACAGACATTGATTACATGGAGCAATATCAAGACTTCACTGTATCTACCACTGACTTCAAAGACCTCCCAGCTGCAGTTGCCGATTGGAAGGAACAGTACAACATCAAGTACGTTCCAATTCTTGACGGAGGCATTGCTTACACTCCAGGACAGAAAGGCTCAGCTTATGAGAGAGGACTGTCAAAGGAAGTTTACATCCAAGACCCAGTGACCGCTCCTGAGCCATTCGTTGGCAAAGTCTGGCCTGGTCCAGCTGTGTTCATCGACTGGTATCATGACGATGCCCATGAGTACTGGATCGACGAAATGAAGAAACTTCATGATAAACTCGACTTCGATGGAATGTGGATCGACATGAACGAAGCCTCCAACTTCTGCAATGGCCACTGCACCTTGGACAAAGTTGTTGAGAATTCAGTCCAGAAACAACTGTTTTACACTCCAGGAGGCAGAGACCTCGATGAAAAGTCAATCTCCATTGATGCCAAGCATGTTCGTGAAATCACTGAGTTCGAAGCTCACTCAACTTATGGGTTCTTTATGGGCAGAGCAACTTCAGCTTACTTCACCGAAGAAGCCAAGCGCAGACAGTTCATCATCACCAGAAGCTCTACCTCTGGGTCTGGCAAATATGTTTCCAAGTGGCTTGGAGACAACTTCTCAACCTGGGAATACCTGAAGTACTCAGTCAACGGAATCTTCTTGTTCCAGTTCTTCGGAATGCCAGTTGTTGGAGCTGACATTTGTGGGTTCATCGATGACACCAACGCTAAGCTGTGTGCAAGATGGTATGCTTTGGGAGCTTTCTATCCATTCGCTAGAAACCACAACGACAAAGAGTCGGTTCCTCAAGAACCCTATGTTGAGATGTTCAACGCAGCCATTGCTCCAGAGAAGACTTATACCGACTTCTTCAGAGAAGCAGCTTTGAAGAGATACGCTCTGCACAGATACCATTATTCTCATGTGCATGAAAATGCTATAACCGGAGTGCCTTACTTCACCCCAGTGTTCTACAGATACCCCGAAGAGAAAGAAGCATACAACAGAGTCGAACAAAACATTATGCTCGGTGAGAGCATCAAGATTTCGCCAGTGGTGACCAACACTACTGTCAAGGGGTCGTTCTACTTCCCAGAGTCAGGGGCCCTGTGGTGTCCAATCTGGCCAATGTATGCCAAGGGCTGTGTCAAAGGAGGCACCTCCATTTTGACGTTTGTGCCTGAAGACGAAATTTTGGCTCACATCAAAAGCGGAAGGATCATTGTCACTCAGCTGGGCGACTTCAGGTCTGTTCCAGACGGCTTGAATCTTGAGTCACTGAAAGATGTGCCAGTAGACTTGGCCATCCACCCAAGCAGCAAGTACTCTGCATTTGGAAGTGTTAGGTATGATGATGGAGAGACTCTGGACTTAGATGCCTACACCCAGTACGAGTTCACAGCTGAAGGAGCAAGCCCATTTATCGGAGCATCTCATCTCGACGTGAATGTCACTGTGACAAAGAGCAGCAGCACAGAAACGCCAAGAAACAACCAGAACTTGGGATCTATAGTTGTGTATAATGCTGGAGTATTGAGTTTGGGAAAGAATTCTAAATGTCACATTGAGTTCACTAATGGAGCCACCGTAGACCTGACTGGAGAATACAACAAAGACCACAACATTATGAGATTCTTCGTAGAGAAACAAGGAGGAGAAAAGCTGGATACAATCACCAAGATCAAGATTACAAGCAAGTAAACATTTATTTATCACCGATAATTATTTTGTATCCAATTCTTCACTACTCTAAAGGGGTTTTGGGGTTTTGGGGTTTTGGGGTTTTGGGG